CCGCCCCGCGTACACACCCGCCTGGACCCCCGTACGCCGTACCGCCCTCCCGCCGCCGCCGCCGCCGCCGCCGCCGTCGTTGGGGCGGCCCCCGCCGCCGCAGCAGAGGCGGCGGGGGCCGTAGCCCCTCCCCGCAATGGCAGTCGGGGCACCGGGGGTAGCGGAGAGAAGCGGCAGTTGGTGTATGTGTTCACCACGTGGCGCTCGGGCTCCTCTTTCTTCGGTGAGCTCTTCAACCAGAACCCCGAGGTGTTCTTTCTGTATGAGCCAGTGTGGCACGTGTGGCAAAAACTGTACCCAGGGGACGCTGTTTCCCTGCAAGGGGCTGCGCGGGACATGCTGAGCGCTCTGTATCGCTGCGACCTCTCCGTCTTCCAGCTGTACAGCCCCGCGGGCAGCGGGGGGCGCAACCTCACCACGCTGGGCATTTTTGGTGCGGCCACCAACAAAGTGGTGTGCTCCTCGCCACTCTGCCCCGCCTACCGCAAGGAGGTCGTGGGGCTGGTGGACGATCGTGTGTGCAAGAAGTGCCCACCGCAGCGCCTGGCGCGCTTTGAGGAGGAGTGCCGCAAGTATCGCACGCTGGTCATCAAGGGCGTGCGTGTCTTCGACGTGGCCGTGTTGGCACCGCTGCTGCGCGACCCTGCCCTGGACCTCAAGGTCATCCACCTAGTGCGCGATCCTCGTGCTGTAGCCAGCTCACGCATCCGCTCGCGCCACGGTCTCATCCGCGAGAGCCTGCAGGTGGTGCGCAGCCGGGACCCGAGAGCCCACCGCATGCCGTTCCTGGAGGCCGCTGGCCACAAGCTCGGTGTCAAGAAGGAGGGTGTGGGCGGCCCGGCAGACTACCACGCGCTTGGCGCTATGGAGGTCATCTGCAACAGCATGGCCAAGACACTGCAGACGGCCCTGCAGCCCCCGGACTGGCTGCAAGGCCACTACCTGGTGGTGCGGTACGAGGACCTGGTGGGAGACCCCGTCAAGACCCTACGGAGGGTGTACGACTTTGTGGGGCTGCTAGTGAGCCCCGAAATGGAACAGTTTGCCCTCAACATGACCAGTGGCTCAGGCTCCTCCTCTAAGCCTTTTGTGGTGTCCGCTCGCAACGCCACGCAGGCCGCCAACGCCTGGCGGACGGCCCTCACCTTCCAGCAGATCAAACAGGTGGAGGAGTTTTGCTACCAGCCCATGGCCGTGCTGGGCTATGAGCGGGTCAATAGCCCCGAAGAGGTCAAAGACCTCAGTAAGACCCTGCTCCGGAAGCCCCGGCTCTGAGAGGGTTTCCTGGGAGACTAGATTCCTTGTAGAGACACCCACGGGAGGATTGTGGTGTATTTAAACAAAAACAGCCCAGACCCAAACTGAGGAAGCCCACGTATTCTATTATAGATATATAATATAAATAACCACACAGGCACTTGCTGTCAATGTTTTGAGTCATTGAATTTCAAGGAACAGCCACAATACACACACGTCTCAGAAAAGGCAAGACTTGAAAGCTCTGACCAGCTCCCCTACTCTCCTCTCCCCTACCTTTTTTCTCCCTTCCTTTTTCTCCCAGTTCTTACCCTCTCTCCTACCTGCCTTGTGTTTTGAAGTGGGATGTTGATTAAATCAAGGTCCAGTAACTTAAATCTTGTTTACAAAATTTTCGTCGCATCTGTGAACACGTAAAAGAGTCATTTGGATGTGGGGTGGGGTGGGGTGGAGAAAGGGGAAGTTGTCCAGGAGCACAAAGCTCCGTTGGACAAACCAAGGAGGCATTCTTCTAAAAGTAGACTTGTGTAAAAGGCAAAGGTTATAAAGTGAGTATTAATAAAAAAAGGTAATAAATAATATTCTTTTTAATATCTGCCTCCATTACTTTGGATTTACCTGTGCTACTTGTCCTGTGTAGCTTCGGGCGGAATTTGCTTCCCCTCCCCCCACCCCATTTTCCCAGTCTGTTTCCTAGAAAACTGCTAGGACGGGTGGCAGCAGCTTCTGACTCCTTGATAAGAATCTTGGAGTTGTTTTCTCACACGTAAATCACAGCCTGTCAGGTGCCCAGGAATGGGAACAAACCTTGAAATTCTAAAGGCAAAAACCAAGCAAGGCACTGGAGGAGAAGGCCCACTCTACTTTCCTGTTCCACTGTGGGCACAGAAAGGAAGAAGCAACCCCGTGAGGATTTGACGGCGTTCGTTTTTGATGATTGTTGGGTTAAGACTGGGGAAACGTGACGCAGAGACGTGTTTTGGTGCTGAGGTTAGTTCAGAAAAAGGATTTTGTTTTTTGACGAAAAGTGTGTAATCAAATTTTCTGAGGATTAAAACATAGACCTCGAAAATTAGTGTGAACACAGTGTTGACAATGGTAGCAACTTCTTTAGAAAAATGAAAGAAGTATATGTGTCTGGAGTGTTTTTCTGCCTGTGACATAGTACATGGAGGCATTTGAAAAGGGGAAGTTTTTATCTGAGAACCATAAGGGTACACACAGGCTTTTCCTTTTCTTTCTTGCTTCCTATTTAAATTAGTGCAAACAATATGAATTTATAATGGCTTACTTGGGATGCCCATGAGGCTACATTGCTTTTCCTTACTGTGTTTCCTAAAAGTAAAACTGCAAAGAAGCTATAACATGTTGCAGACAGTATAAGGCTTCAGCCAAGAGCTTCTTTTAGATATGAAAATGAATTATGGGAAAGAGGAAATGAAATGAGTTATGAGTAAGTGTGTTGGATTTTGAGATTTGGTATTTTCCAGGGAGAAAACCATTCCAATTTTCCTGCAGTGGTAATGGTGTTGCTGCTGTTCTGAGCCCATTTATACTGAAACATTCTGCAGAATGTCATATTACAATAAGAAGTTATGAAGCCTGAATAGGAACAAGAGACAGTGTAGTTCTATGTTTCATTAAATACGGTACAAGTTCAATATCATCATGACTTTATTTTCTATAATTTATTGTGAAATCTCTGCAGGCCAAGCTGTGTTGGTTAAATGCTGAGGATTTTAAGGAAAATATGATGAAAAATAATACATACATGGGAAATATTCAACACAAGATGATTCTTAAGTATAATTTTCATTACAAGGTGAAATCTCACCACGCTGTTAAGCATTCAAGATAAAGAAGCACAGAAGTTAAAAAGAAAAGTTGTATTTAGCAGTGGATTTTATAACACATTCTAGAATCATTAGTTCCTGACTTACTAAAATAGTTTATAGTGTTGTGTTTATTAAACCAGATTGTAGCTATAACATATCGACCCTGTTTTCTATGGTGTTTTCATGGTAGCGCCTATGCTGAAGTATCATGGCCAATAGTGGAATATTTGCAATAGCTTTAATTTAAGAAGACTTTACAATTAAATGAACAAAATTAATATGAATGTGGGATGACTATAGATGACACAGGTTTAACAGGAAATCAAGACAGCATCATTAAAAAGCAAGCATTCTGAATAAAATAACCACTTAAAAACAAATTTCATACGGCATGAGAATCAGCTATCGCTTAATCACAGTAGAATTCATGCTTGGTTTTTGAGTGAAGGAGTTTTAAACAGTTGAATTCATTCTCCTCTCAGTATATCTAAGGACTTTGTGTTGAAGTGGAAATATGCTGTTTTTGGATTTTGTATTAAAAAAAATATTAGATGCTGTGTAGAGCCTTTGCAGCCTGCAGAGCATTGTGGCCTCTGCTCAGATGAAATTTTAAGTGTAAACACAGAACATTTGTCCCCTGTGCTGTCTCTGAACGTGGTTTCCGCCCGAAATACCCTTGTTTTGTAACGATGCATTCTCTCCACTCTGCCACTCTGTAATTTGAAAGGTGAATTGTCGCTCCTGGAGATTTGTTCCTAGCTGCATTCTAGGAAAGCAAGACAAGTGTAGTTCCCACTAACGGCCGACATAGTCATATCAGTGGCATCCAGCTTCCACGGGTTTGAGAAGGAGAGATGCATTTTTTGGTGTTAATAAGCTTCTGTCAGCCCCTGGTGCAAGCAGACCTGTGTCCCAACAAATTGCAACAGAACCTGTGACGATTTCTGAGGCAGCAAACGTAAAAGAGATCCTTTCACATTTCCCAACCTGGCAGGATATCCATCAGCAGGAGGAAATATTCTTCAGAGCAGGTTATCTGAGTGATTTTTATTTTCAGATTCTGCTTAGCTGATAGCACGCCTGACTTACTCCTTTGACTTTGGAATGCCTTTGTTAATTAGAAAGCTCTATTTAGAAAATGTAGTCTACCCAGTGCATTTAGTCAACAAATATGAGTTTAGAACAAGGCAGCGGCACTGGCTGGGTGCTTGAATTTCAGGGAGCTCAGAGGCACTCAAAGGCCTCATTCAGGCTGACCTGTGGGCACCTTGCAGGCAGGGACTGGGGTAAATCCTGTACCCTTCAGTGTCCATAGAGTGAGTACTTGACAAACACTTGCTAAGTACCTCCACGAAATCTAGAACTATCAAAATTTGAAAGTCCTCAGAAGGGCAAGAGGGGAAGAATGTGTTACCTGTTTGGAGAAACTGCCAAGCTGTTCACCAAAGTTTGCTGAAGGAAAGGGGGCCTTAGGCTCCTATGTTGATGTGGGGAATGGGCAATAGGGACATCTTCAGGATTTCCAGGGTGACTGTGCATAGGCTAGTATTTCCCACAGATGAAATAGAAACAAAAACTCAGAATTTCTGAATGTGGACAAGTAAAAATTTCCAAATGAGGAATTTGATGTTTATTCTTTGTTTTCCCAATTGCATTAACAAGATAAAGGCAGAACTCAAAACATCCCTGCAGAAGAAATGAACTCTCTGAGGGAGAGCTATGAGGTTGTTCATTATTGCAGAAGCCATGTAATATTTATTTATTATTTTGAGTGCTTTGGATGTGCAGTTTAAAGGACTTTGAGGTGGATTTCACCCAGGCATAGGAACAGTTACTTTCAGGAAGTTTGGCCTATTGTGGATGCTGAATGAGACAATGGCTGCCTGTTCCCATGCATCTCTGCCTGGCCGTGGCCAGTTCTGTCCAGGATTTCTGTTGCACACAGTATAGTTGCGGCTGGATTATGCTGTCGGTTTGAAATTAATGTGAATCTGAGTGAGGCTGTTAATTAACATTCCCTGGGTCTGAGCAATGAAATAAAGATCATGTTTGAAACCTCGTCTCTAGAGATGACTTCAGAAAGACCAAGAGGGAAATAAAAAGGCATGTCTTATCTGTAGTCGCGAATAAGGATGAGGTGTCACTTTACCACCCTCCCCCAACTTTCTTCCCTCCCCATACATGACACCCATGCGTGTCTGCACATGCATTTGAGTTCCTGTGTTGTCTTCAGTCTGGAAAAGAGAACGTTTTGACACCAGCTAACAGGTATGTGGGGAGGGGTACTTTCGATTTCAGGCGAAATTGGGAGAGTGAGTGGCCAATGATTCTATCAGAATCTATGACTGTTCTGTGTCAGGATCCAGTGTGGACACGTAGAAAATGACAACTGCAAAGTGAGGAATGGCTTGAACTGTGTAATGGGCTGTCTTGAGGTAAATGCACACGTTACAGACCCCTCTTGTCATTCACCTTGAGGAGGGCCCCTTCAAATCTGTCACGGCGAAGAACATAATTTATTCATGTCCTTCCCCCCCTTTCTGTACTTGAGCTGCTACTTTTGCGGTTCAAATGCATGCCACTGAGCCGGCTCGGGTACAGGCTCTCGTACGAGTGTTTAATAATTTAAATTACAGGGCTTGACTTTTATTACATCTGATGCAATTCTGCACACCCTTAATCAAAGTATGCTGAGGAAATTGTTAAATTCTGAATAACACATTAAGCTTATAGAATGGGAAACTTTATGAACCAGTGCTTGGATGTGGTATTGTTTGTAAACTTAAAGGGGCCTTGAGGGAGTAGGAGCCTATCCTATACTTGGCAGGATGGTAAAGGATGATCAAGTGTGGTTAAGGCCAAAGCTTAACTTTTGGTTGAACCAGTAATCAGATCAAAAAGTGTTGGGGGACTGCTTGAACTTGCAGGTTTGTGATAGTCACCCTGCCAAGTGAATGGTGGTGAAAATGATCACCAAAGTGGCTCCCACCCCAAAGTGCATAGGCAGGGCTTGGCAGAAATTCATCTTGAAGCAGTTAATCCTCTAGACAGGACCAGCTAAATAATTTGTGGAGCGCAGTACAGAATGAAAGTGTGGAACCCCTTGTTAAAAAAAATTATGAAGCATTTCAGTTGAGCAACAGCAAAGAGTTAAACCAAGCGTGGTGTCCTTCTGCCTGCGGG